TACTTACTCAAATAAACATCTCACCTATTTTAAGTATTTTTAAGGCGCAATTAAAGTATTTCCTTAAATGAGGGGTTGTTATGTTGATTTTGATTTGATTATCAATAAGTGAAAATGTCAAAGACAGCAGAGCTATGTGATTTAAAGATAAAAAAATAAAACTGACTGATTATAATAACGTTTTCTTTATTTTTATCTCAAAGCATGATCTTTATAAGGAACTTTCGGTTTCGGTTTCGGTTTCGGCCGAAATTGAGACCGTTGTCGAAATTCGCTTTCGGTCGTAAAAACCAGTTTCAGTCGGACACTACTAGAAAGAATAGGAGAACAGAGGATTCTATGGAAGTCAATAAAAAATAGGCGAAATAGGTTGGTAGGATACCTTCTCAGTCATGCAATATTTAGAAATTTAAAATGCAAATATTAAAAATGTTTTAATAATTTAACATCAGCAATAAAAGGTCAAAATTGTAATGTGATATTGGACAGTTAAAAAAACATTAAGTACAAAAATTTGATGGGTACCTACTTCATCCTTTACTTTTTAGAATCAAATGTAAGTTTCAAAATAGAAAAATACGTACAATGTAAATAATTGAATTAATTTGTTACGATATAAGACAAATCACAAAATGTATTATAATAATAAAGTAACACTTACCGACATGATTGCATTTGCTTCACCACATCTCTCTCAGTATGAACGCTCCAAAGAAGATCCTCTACTCCTTGGAGAAGCCATACGGATGTTGCTACAACAAAATTAATTTTCAAACTTTCTAACCCTATCAGTTACTTTTTGAAAACATTATCAATAGTGTAACATCAAGGCCAAAATTGTAATGTGCATATTGGAATGCTACAAAACACTGAAATTATATAGAAAACGCTTCAACGGAGATGCTGCCACATTAGAATTAAACTTTCAAACCTTTTGAAAGGTTAGTTAAGATGTTAATTTAATTTCAGTTTAGGATACAATTATTTATGAATATTTATAACATTTTTTTGTTTTCATACTGATTTTATTTCAAATTTGTTTTTAATAAAAAACCTGGGTAAAGGGGGCTTATTTTGGGGTAGAAAATGGAAGTATGTATAAAAGAGGAAAGGGTGAGTGAGGGTGAAAAGAGTCAGAATTAAAGGGAAAAAAATGAGAACATTTGAGAATATGGAAATATATGTGATCGTACACGGAGAAAATGAAAAAAGAAAATTTACCTAAATATCAAAGCTATATTTACAATTTATCCCACTAGTCCATTGTTTCGTAAGAGAAAATAATTAAAATTACAATTTGGACCCGAATTTGTAAAAATAAAATCCCAGCAGAAATAAATTTACTAGGTAGGGGAGACTGGGGCTGGTCGTGACAGAGGTAGGTCGTTACAGCGGCCACGGTGGCTAAACAAATAACGCTATTTTGACGTAAGAAAGACACAAATTATTATTCAATCACCAGTTAACACGTCTGGCGAACTAGTGGCACCAGCGTTTTTGTGAAAGGAGCCCTTACATATTGCCATCAAAACCGCAGGTTAGTAACATTTTCGTTTTTTCGTGATATTGATCTACAACCTCTTTTCCTTTATCGGGGTCTTGTTTAATGACCACAAGAACAACAATAAAAAAAAATAGTCCGATAAAAAATATAAAAGTATAATTTGGATCACACAAAAAAAACACTACACACAAACAAACACAGAAAGCAAAGAACAATAAGATAAATCAAAGGTACACCACAAAATAAACACACAGCAAAAATAACGTAATTAAATAGTATAGATGTAATAAACGAAAGGTAAAGACTTACTCGAAGGTTGACCGCAGAGTGGTTAGTATGGAAATTTAGGGGTTTATATACAGCTGAATTGTTAGTAAAAAGAGATAGAATATTCAAGAAGGAACAGTATGAACAGTAAAGTTGAAGGTACAGGTTTATAGCACTCAGAGTGAGCAATTTAGAATTTTAGGAAAAGTAATTAAGGGAAAGTACAGCAATTAGTAAGGGGCGCATGCAAGTATAGGTGAAGATGAAATTCTAGGTAAAGGCTAGCGATAGTACAACAATAGAATCTAGGTTGAAAGGAAACAAAGGCGTGTACAAAATAAGAAGTTGTAAGTCTACAAATAGATTTAGAAGAATATTTACAAAATAATAATAATAATAAAAATTCAATCAAACGAATATAAAAATTAATTTTAACGGTGTTACCGCTACATAGATATTCATTATCGAAGAACATAACTCACAATCAGTATGGCTAGGATTTTAATTAGATTAGTTGTATGATGCTACCTATTTGTATGCAATCGACAGTGACTTCAAAGTGCGATAATTAGTTCAAAGAAGTTCGAAGACGTGTTAATTCTTCATTGTATTTGTATGTAGATCGTTTTCGAGTCGGAAAAAGGATCACACCATTAACTAATATGTGTCAGAAAGAATTCAGGTCCATAACGTGATGAAGGCCCACGACGGGCAAAAAGCAAGGGTGAAATGGGCATAAAAAGGGCGTACGGTTGGGAATGGTCCTTGTGTCAATTATAAAGACTGTAACGAGCAAATTGCAAGCACAAGCCGCGGATCGACTGCATTTAATGAGAACTGGATGTCGTTAGGTTTTTTTGTACTTATCGCTTAGTTCGACTCAAAGCCAAGGTAATCACGGCGAGCGTGACGAAATTATTGATGAAGTCCGAGAAGCGAAAATTCGCTGAGCAGTAAACAATTGATAAGAAGAATATTATATATCGTTTATATACGAGGGTGGATTGATAAGTTTCCGGCCTGACCAAGAAAAACAAGGTTTTTAAAAATTTTTTTTTTTTTATTTCTCAACATAATCTCCTCCAAGGCTGATACATTTCTCATAGCGGTGTTCCAGTCTATTAATGCCATCTCTATAGACTGATTCGTCAAGCTCCTCAAAATAACCATTTACAGCTTCGATTACTTCTTCATTGTCCGCAAATCTCTTACCGCCAAGCCATTTTTTGAGATTAGGGAACAGAAAATAGTCACTCGGGGCNAACAATCATAAGTTATTTCACAAGGTCCGTTGTGGGTCAAAATCGAAATGAGAAGAGATATGTTAAAGGCTGTCGATAAAGGTTAATTTAAGAGACATTTTTATTGTCAAATTTCGCTTTGTCCCCAATTATCCTTATCCCCTCTTCAAAAATTTTTCAAATAAACGCAAAGGAACAAAAGACTTTTTAACGTTTCAAAATCTTTTTAAAAAAAAACGTCAAAATTGAGATTATTAAGTTAATAAATTCTACTATTTCTATGGCAAATTTAGTCATTAAAATTTGAAAATTTTAATTTTTGAATTGTCATAAAAATTTAGTTTTCTCCGTGTAGAAATGCAAGGTTGCGCGTAAAAATTTACGTGACAGTGAGAATACATGAAAAGACAAGAGTAACAAATTGTGTGAGAGTGAGAACGTATCAGAGGGTGAGGGTGAGAATTTTCATGTAATTGAGAATGTATGAAGGGGTAAGAGTGAGAATTTATGTGAGAGCAAAATTTCGCAAGCTTTTAAATATATCATTAAACAATTAGTTCAGAAAAATTAGGTGTAGACGACATTACTACATCGTAAACTGAAAATTCCTTCGAATAAAATGTAAATTACTTAAGACACTATTAATCTAGTAAAATGTTATTAAACACAAACCCTAATTTTTAAATATGAAGATTGGAAAAACTTTGGTGGTTGTTGTAGAACAAACAGAATAGCTCAAAACCCCAACGTCAAAACAAGACACTGTAGTTGTTCGAAGCACTTTTCGGTAACAAAGTTACCTTCTTCAGGGACTGAAGTAAACTGAAGCTGAAGCTATTCTGTTTGTTCTACCTAATTTTTAAAAAAAATAACAGTAATAACATAGGTTGGTATACAAAGCAACACAAAATTTACTTTACTTAGTTTACCAATGAGAAGTTAGATTTTACTTCTTAACTTTGAATACTTTTTGCAATTGTTACTTTAATGTCTTATAAATATTAAAAATTCCCTGGTGTTTTATAAAACTGAATAGAAAAATCCTCTTTTTTCTAAGTTAGCCCTCAATTTCCTAGTATAGGTAAATTTTACTGATAACCCTGGCATTTAGTGCAGTTTACAATTACTTCTACTTCATTTTATTGTACAGTACAACTTCATATAACAAACTCATATTTAACGAAAAAAATATGTCATACGTGTTTACCATGGAGTATTATTAAAATAATTTTTGCTATTTGTTCTATCCTATATTTTAAAAATTCTCAATGCAATAAAACAACCATTCTCTTTTTGAGTGTCGCTTTACAAAGTCTACACTGTATCCTTTTCCAAGCTGATTCAGGACATAGGTATAGAAATTTTTTCTTATTATGAGACAAATTCAGTAATTGTGTATTTTGGACACCTGAACAGGCTACACTTAGACAGAGTTCATCAAAAATAAATTGCAAAATGAATAATATTTATATGGTGGATAATAAAATACAACTCACTGTTTTTCTATTGTAGTAGTCGATTTCTCTTCGAGCACTCCACCACGACCTGTTCCAACGTAGGCTTTCTAATACGACTTTGATAAGGAAAACCATAAGTACCTGCAACGAAATCATACATAAACTTTTAAATCTATCTATCTTTATCTTTACAAATTCCATACATACTTATTTCAATCAACAAGAAGTACTTTAAAGAAAGCAAGTACGGTTGCCATTTCAATAACCAACTGATTTAGTATAAATAATAATAAGGCAACTGCTATTAGACAATCTTTTCTTATTCGGCATTATTCGGAGTCCGAAGATGACGTTCAGTATCGTGTTTGTTATTATCAAAAGTCACAAGATAAGCTCGATACTATTCAACGCAAATATGAAGATAATAAAGAACAGAACACGCAAGCTAAATGATACGTTTATTGTAGTAAATATGTTTCCGAAACAATTAAAATATTTTATTATTTCAATTATTTATTTTTATAAAACTTATACTATCCTACATCACAAAAAAAGTTCAGTTAATTATTAGCATTTCGTAAACACCCTTCTTAATATGCCTTTTTAAAAGTTATCTAAATTCTAGTCACATTAAAATTGATTTTTTTCTGAGTACAATTTGCTTGATGGTAACGTATATATAATTGGTTTGCATTTGCAAAAGAAAATGTTATAGTACATAAAATTTCAATGCCCAAAAAAAATTTCATATTATTATAATTTTAAAAACGTTACTTGTCGTTTAATTGTGTGTTGTTAATGTCTAAGTCATTTTTAGAGAGTACATTACTTTGGAATTTAATTTATAAAAAAGAAATTAAAAGTTCTTTTCTAATGTATTGTATTGCATAAAATGATATCAAATTTAATTGAAAATCAAATGATAAACAAAGAGGATAGATTTTAATAATTTATAAAAATAACCTGTTAATAAAATCAAACAAAGAAATTGTAGGATTTCATAACTTGTTAGAGTCTGAACATAAATAAGCGAAATAAAAAAAAA